ACTAATGGATCCCTCCCCCCCTTTGCTACCTCTATGGGGTAGAGGCAGCAAAGGGGAAGAGTGGAGGGGAAAGGTACTTTAAAGTAGCAGCACCACACAGCCAACTATTTTAAGCCAAAATAGTTGAAGCTGGCATGTTACAAGCAACTGAAAAACAGGGCCTTAAGGGAAGCATGAGACAACCTTAATAGGTCATGCTACCAGTCCCACACAAGAAAATAATGGCTGCATACTATACATAATGGATGTTAAGTTGTGGTTATGTGACTAATTGTATAGTTGATATAATCTGTATATACTACACGATTAGTCGATAAGGACCGCTTTGCAAAGCCGCAGGGGGGATAGTTCCAGAAGCCAGTTTGAGTCAGGACTGAGCAGTCCCAGCTCGTGCTGGCTCCAGGAGCCACCCGGGCTACAGCTCTGCATTTTGAATGTAATAAGAGCTGCCAGACTCTTACTACATTTAAAACGCAGAGCTGCAGCGTCCTGGACCAGCACAAGCCAAGATTGCTCGGTCCCGACTCGCACTAAGTCCAGCAGCCCCCACTCACAGAAGCCAGCTCTGTCCAATGCAAACAGGGGCTGCTGCTGGAGCAGCCCTTGGCCGCGGCCAGTCCTGGTCACCATGAACAGAGGCTGCTCCAGCACCAGCTGCTTGGTGGCAGCAGCCCCTGTCCACAGGAGGGCCCAGCTCCCTATTGGGACCCCCGCAGGCAGGAGCTGCTGCTGGAGCAGCCTCAGCTCGCCGCAGGCAGAGGCTGCTTCTCAGCAGCCTCCCCATCTCCTGCTGCTGCCTCTGAGGCAGCAGGGGGGTATGTGTGTATGTGTGAGGGCAGGTGGGACCACAGAGCCAGAGCTGGGGGGAACCGGCTTTTAGAAGCAATAAGTGGGATGGGGAGAAAGTGAGTAGTTGATACTCCAATGATCAACTACTCAATAAGCTTTTGCTTATCAGGTAGTCGACTAGCCAACTACTCACTAACATCCCTACTATACATAAATAAGGTACCATTATTTTATGTTGGTCTTTGGAATAGTACCTGCACATGGCAGGCTGCTTCAAGTAACAATATTTAAGTTTTTAAATTTCTACAGCCCTAATTTAACAATGAGAACTGCAAAGGCAGAGTCCTGTAAATGGAGTACCACTTACTTCACCAGAACTCCCTCTTAAGCAGGGGTTCATCCATTTGGGATTTAAGTGTTCATACAACACTTAAAAATAGAAAATTAGTAGTCAGTCATTTATAATGACTCTTCACTAAAACACATTTTCAAGATGTCTAAATATGCATTCTCCAAAATTAATCAAGCTTTTTATAGCAAGTGTTACATTTCAAGAAATTCCACAAATACATCCCCGTTCCCACTCTCTTTTTAGAGTAAGACTGTTATGGAAGTCTGAAGAAGAAATTAAGTATCAAATAAGGAAAACCTACAACTCTTGTTTCAAACACATTTTGGGCTCAGTCCTACAGTTTGTCTTTATGTACCTCCTATAACAGGTAAACAAGTACAACACTTGCAAAATCTTAAAAATTATCCCTTGTTTAAAGAAATACAACTTATTTTTATCTCACAGAGTTTCATCCTCATATGCCAAGGCTGAATTGATTCTACAGGCTAAGTCATACACAGAGAACTAAGTATAGGGGGCAAGAACCTCTAGAATTTGTTCCTTTATACTTATGGAAGAAAAAGGTATACAGAATATGTGACAAAGTAATACAGTCTCTCTCACAGAACATAACACTGCTTTGCAGATAGTATTCTAGGCATTCATGCATTTTATGGATAAATACTGCTAACCCTACTGTTATTTATGGATATCAGATTTACTTGATGGAAAAGGCCAATTTTTTTAATTATGGTCCACGGACGGACCATAAATTATGGAGTCAATCCACTGAAGAAATCCCACTGATTTTAATGCAAAGTTGGCAGAAAATAGTAGAATGTAACCTTTATGCAGTAACCAAATTTTTTGTAAAGCACCTTATCACATTCAATATCACTCTGAAAAAAATGTGTACACCTTTACAACCTTTTCTGCTCTTCCCCACCTTCTTTTCAAAATCTCTCTCCTGCTCTGTCTTTGGCCTTCTTTATGTAGTATAAGTACTGATTTAAACTCAAGTGGCACCAAAAACTGAATTAGGAAATGAATGCAAGTCCCTGGTATGGACAGTGTTATATCACCACTAAGGTTTATACCTGCATCTGCAACAAAAACTGTTTAGGATTAGAGATGTTAACTATCGGGTATTTGTGTAAACGTGTAGCCACTGGAAATTTTAGTGGTTACACATTTACATGCGTGGGGGGGGGGGGGGGGAGCGGAGCAGGTCCACAGAAGCCAGTACTTGTGAGGAGCCAGCTTAAAAGCCAGTTCCCCGAGCATTGGCTCACACCTGCCTCCACCTCTGCTACCTCTGATAAAGAGGCAGCAGCATGAGGGGCAGGCAGCTCCCCGAGAGCCAATATGCACAGGGAGCCGGCTTGAAAGCCACTTCCCACATGTACCAGCTCTCACTTGCCTCCCACCCCCCCACACTGCTGCCTCTGTATCAGAGGCAGCAACACAGAGGATGGGAGGGCAGGTCCCGCCTGCCCCTTTCTCCATGCTGCTGCCTCTGTGGGAAGCAGCAATGGGGGGGCAGACATCTCCGCAGAGCCTGCTCCCTGCACATATCAATCAGCTCCAACCTCCCCACCCCTTGCTGCCTCAGATACAGAAACTGCAAGTGGAGGAGTGCATGTAGTTGATAGGATTGGTTAATCATGTAATGGACTACATATTGATATCCCTGTTAGGGATAAGTCTTTTGTCTCTCCCCTCTCTTCTCTACTGCATTTTTTTTCCCTTCAGAAAATGCCTAGCTATCCATGGGCTTCCTACTCACTCTTTTCCTACATTTTATCTGCTAAAATAGTCAGCAATTAAATAGTTAATACTGAAGTATCATCATTGACCTTTAGAGCAAATGAACCAATGAGATGGGGGAGGGAGGTTTCTACTTCATTGTTTCCAGTTTTATGCAGTCTCTAAAAGACCTCACTGCATAACTGTACATGTCTGAAAGGTAGTCTTTGTAATCATGAGGACAAAAAAATTATGATAAACGAAAGCTTAACTTCTACACGGTCTGAATATTTCATGTAGGCTAGATGTGACCCAGACAACCCTAATTTTAATTTTAAAAGGGGTTTTGGTTTTTTTAAGAGGAAGACAGACAGACAGACAGACAGACAGACAGACACAGACACACACAATCTTTAATTTTACTAAGAGAATGTTTTTCCTTCAATTCCTTTGGACAATATTTTGTGTTTGAAATCACATCACTGTGGTTTCAAAACAGGGTACTTGCTCTATAACGATATTGTTGATTTACCAAAAAAAAAATTAAAACCCCTAATGTTCAATCCCTACAGGTAAGATATTAAGAGTGACTAGTTATTTGGGGCCCTAAATGTCTGAGTTTTAAATTTAAGACACCTTTAAAGAGGCCTTATTTCCTTTAGGGTGTGTGTTCAGCATTTTCTGGAAAGAGAACCTGATTTTTTTTTAAAATCTCAAGTCCATACCCAAAATTTAGGCACCCAAAATCACTAATATCTGACCAAGATTTTCAAATGTGACAACGGACAAGCAATTTCAAATGTGTTTAACCAGGCTGGTATTCTGCCATTTAGTCTGAATATTGGGCATTAGAACTTTAAGTCTCTTATCAAGGGTTAAAAAAAAATAAAAAACTAAACAGATTTCTGATAATTCTTGAACTAAATTTTAAGCAATGATAAAATTTCACAGACTTTTGAATGGTGATTGAGGAAGCAATTTTGTATCTGGTAAGCATGAAAAGAAAATTGGGTAAGCACGAAAAGAAATCAAAGGCCAGGTGCATTAATTATGTTTCTGATTTGAAATGCATTCCTAAGAAGTCATTTCAAACGTGTTAGCAACAGGTTCATTAAAAGCTGTCTTGGACAGAAAAGTGAGGTGAATTTCTATAACAAAGATCATTGTTTAAGAAAGTAAAACAAAAAATTACAATACTAAATTATAGTACAGAATTTAGAGTTTTCTTGCTGTTTATTTCCATATTGTCCCATTTTTATCTTCCTTAGTGTCTTGTTAATGATACACAGGTAGGACCTCCCAGACAAGAACATTGTAACATCTATATTTATTCAGCCAGGCTGTATGCCATTTGGCTTACTTAACACACTTCTTCTAGTTTATCCTCTAGCCCTCAAGTTTTACAATTTTGAAATCTTCCTTGATATAGGTGTATGCTCCAAATATTATTGCATATCCAATTTAGAACTCCTTTGAATTTTCTCCTTAGTGAATTTTTACTTTCTATTTTACTTAGTCCATTAGTTTAAAGATGGTCAGAAAACTGATAAAAGTGACAAAATAGCATAATTTGCATTAATCCAGATATTCCGTGGCCATGTAAAATGCATAATTTATACATGAATTTTCAAAGGAGTTCTACCCACCGGTGTAGGGATGAATCTACCACATGGGCAGCACGCAACAGTTCCCTTTGAGATACAAGCCCTATTCTGATTCTAAGTATCAATTACACTTTTTTGCTCAACAAAATTTAAGAACTCAGAACTTTGTTAATTGACTGCTGAACACTTTCACTAAGAAAGTAATTCACATCTTTCTCACTCTTTTCTAGTGAAACACACTCTCAAACTATTAAAACATCAAATAAAGTTTAGAAGAAATATGCTATTGTTTAGTAGCTGAATGCAACAGAGGGCCCAGGTCTTTGAGTCTGAATTACTGAAATGCTTCATTGTTCACTGTATGATTATTAGTTGTCTGGGAGCCCACAGAATGGTGAAACATCACACATTTTATTCTAGAGAAACATGCATTAACACCAATATTTGGAAGTTGGCGGAGTTTTGAATGTTCTGCTACTGTACAAATTTAAGCAGGAATTCTGCTTGTGTATTTTTATTTTGAACTTTACCTGTCTTGTTTTTGCTGATGTTTCAATGAAAGGAATTCCATAACTTCGTGCTAAGTCCTGAGCTTGTTTTGTATCTACTGTTCGGGAAGGTAAATCACATTTGTTTCCTACTAGCACCATGGGGACGTCTTCAGAATCTTTAACTCTTTTTATTTGTTCCCTAAAATAAAATGGAGAGATTTCATTTCAATACTGTTAGTAGTGTTAATACAATAGAATTTTAAGGAGGAGACAAAATGAAGTTAGACATTTCTAGTCTTGCCAAATGGTCTAACACCCCATTGTAGTTTCCTTTAATTTTGTTGTGTAACATTATTTGAAACTTTTCATAATTGTTAAGCCAGGTAATACTACTGTCTTTTCCCCCCAGATATAGCATTTCACTTCAAAAGCAGAGCATGCATATTAGTCACGTAGGTGTCACTGATAGCCGTGGGATGCCCAGAGCTAAAATTACATGAGTCTTGATTCCATTTACTTTACAGTTGCTTTACATGTATGCCCACTTTAATGTCCTTTCACACAGCCAGAGCAGAAAAAAGGGCCTTTGTGTGAATGAGACACAGGTTCACATAGGGCACCTCTACACTGCACACTTATCTCAGAATAAGCTATTTCGGAGGAAATACTCCAAAATGGCTTATTTTGAAATAGTGAATCTACACAGCAAATGCCGATCGAAATAGCTCTATTTCAAAATACAGCATCCACACTCATTGGATGCTGAATTGCATTTAAGGCCACCACAAAACACTTCAGGATGCATACCAAGATAGCACTCTCTTAACTGGAGCTGCAGCCTGAGGCTCAAGGTTAAAGGGATCCCCCTGTACAGCTGTGGCCCTTCATCTTTGCCTACCTCCCTGAACAGCAGCAAAGGCTTTTCTCTGCCTGCTATAGTTGCCCTTGCGGACACCTCAGCACTCCTACCATGGAGCCAACCTGCCTCCGAGTAGTTGATGGCTCTTATATGTCTTGGTGCACCCCCTGGTGCAGATTCTGCGGGCTGCCTTCCTGTCTCTGCAGGAACAGGACCCCCAGCTCCATGTGAAGCAATTCTTCACCTCTCTCCAGGCGCTGCTCATGCAGCTCAATCCCATCCTCCCTCCCCTGCACATTGTGCACCACAGCTTCTGGCAACCAGCAACCAGCTCTGACTGGTGGGACTGGATCGTCCTGGAGGGGTGGGATGACCAGCAGTGGCGCCTGAATTTCCGTATGCGAAAGGACACCTTTCTGGAGCTGTGTGATCAGAGGGCAGGGGCAAGCCAGCGATGGGACATCCATATGAGACCCGCCATCCTCCTCCAGAAGCAGGTAGTCATTGCTATTTGGAAGCTTGCCATGCCAGACAGCCCCCAATCCATCAGGAACCAGGTCAGTGTGGAGAGATTGACCACCAGGGCTGTGGTCATGCAGGTAAGGTGCACTCGTGCTATTGTCCCAGGAGGGTGCTGATCTGCTGGAGTGAGGTTCCCTGCACAAGAGGGGGTAAGTGGTGGAGGCCCCTTCCCCAGGAGATTTTTCAGTCCCTCCTTCACAAAGCCCTGCCAGGGGATGGGGCAAGTCAGGATTGCTCCTTATGTGTAGGGGGAGGAGAGTTGGGCTTGGGGACTTCCCAAGGGCCTTGGCAACCCTGTGATTCTGTTTGTCTCCTTCTACAGGTGGTGAGGGCCAGCAACACTGTTCTACTGTGCAGACATCAACCTGGGAGACATGGACCCCATCATCACCAGATTTGATGCCATGGGCTTCCCCAAATGTGGGGGGGCTATTGATAGCACCCACCATCTGGGCCCCCAACCACTGGCCCTGTGAGTACATTAACCAGAAGGGGTACTTCTTAATGGTCCAGCAGGGCCTCATTGACCATCATGGCCAGTTCATAGCCATCTACATCGGGTGGTTGGGGAAGGCAGCTGATGCACGTGTCCTTCGAAACTCAGCAGCTTCCAGAAGCTGTGCGCCGGCACCTTTTTCCCTGACCGCACCATCGGGGTCACAGACATTGACATGCTGATCTGTGTTGTAGGAGATGCAGCCTACCCTCTGTTCCCCTGGCTAATGACACCCTAAACTGGACTCCTTGACCCCACCAAGAAATAATTTAACACCAGGCTCAGCAGCAACCGTATTGTTTTGGAGGGTGCCTTTGGACATATTAAGGGGAGGTTCCCTTGCCTCCTCACCTGGCTGGAACTTGGTGAGCATAACCACCAGGTAGTGGCGATGTGTTGTGTCCTTCACAATATTTCTGAAAGCAAAGGGGAGACCTTCCTGACAGGGTGGGGGACAGAGGCTGACTGGATCGGCAGGGCCTTTGAGCAGCTGCACACGACAGCTATCCAGCAAGCTCATCAAGGAGATGCATATCTGTGAGGCCCTGAGGAAGAGTTTCACATAAAGACCACAGTGACACTCTCCCCTGTGCCTCTCCACAAAGGGCCTGTGCATTGTTCCTCTTTGCCTTTCCTCCCACACCCCTTCCCTCCCCTGCACAAAGTATACTCCTGGTTTGGAAACAAACTTTTTTTTTTTTTTAAACCAGGGGTTAATGTAACTGAGGAGGGACTGGGGAAAGAAGGGAAGTGAAAGGGGGAGGGGAGGGAGGAGAGACTCAGGACTGGGAATGGCGCCTGCATCAGGTGGTTCAACCGCCTTGTGGGCGGAGCCGGAAGCACAGGAGCCACCACCAGGTGGTCGATGATTGCATGAAAGGCCGTGCAGATGGATCAGCCCTGCTGCAGCAGCTCCCACCAGGTGTCACGGCATGGAGGTGTCACGGCACAGCTGGAGGTCCTCTTCATGTCTTCCATCCTGCCAGTTCATGGAGCACTACAGGGCTCACAGGGCAGCAATATGCTCTCTCTCAAGGTCCTCGTGGGCTCTCCTGTGCCAGCGGGTCACACGGGATTGGGAGGATCACATAGGAGGTGTTCACCACTCCCCTATCGCAGTTGGTCCAGCTGTGGAGAGCATAGCAAAGGGCAGTCATCCCAGGAGATGCTGTGCATGAAGCCTAGCCCCTATCTTAGAGACAAGATTGAAAGGTCTCAGGTCAAATGAAGTCGATGTGCTTCGAGCAAGGCCATCTGCAGCCAAGACAGTGGGCCCTTTGCTGCAGGGACACAGATGTGCCAGGGGGAGCCTCATTACCTCTTTGCCCCAGGGACAAACAGGTGTTGGAAGGTGCCGGCCAGACTGGGAGCCTGCAGGAGGGAGGGTGGGTCACGGGGCGGCTGGACGTCCCTCTGTGCTATGCACACGCTAGGTCCAGCAGTGGCTGCATCCCACAGAGCAAGGACTCATCTCTCTGGCTGATGGAGGAGAGGGGGGCAGGGTGTTGGGGAGAGGTATGTGTGAGCAGCAGACCTCCTGCACCTCGCCATGCTGCTCCAAGAGTACAGGGAAGCCTGTGTGCCATGTGTGGCACTCCTGAGTTTGTATGTCTCCATGTCCCCAGTCTCCTTCTACTAGTGGCTCGTGGTAGAAGGGTGTCCCACCCCAGTGTTGGGAGTGAGGCAGGCCTCTCCACACACCCTGTGAGCCAGAGCACCAGGATCCTCTGTTGCTGCCTCCCGGAGATGTGCACCCCCGACTGGCACTTCATGTGCACAGGCTGCTGCACGATCCCCAGGCCAAGAAGGCTGAGCGAGGAGCACTCAGCAGCCCCTCGCAGCCCATCATCTCCACCCTGTGTGTATCTAGGGAAAGTAATGGCACTCACCTGAGGGGCCTTCCACGACTTTAGTGATGCCTGGGAGATATCCTGAGTGGAGAGGTACTAGCTTAAGGGCGAGCATGACCTCCTGGCCAGCAGGCATCAAGCCAGTGCTGGCCTTGTCCAGCTCCTCCTCCTCACCAGCTCTAGCCCCAGGAAGGGTGACAAGAGGCATCTCCAGCCCTCAGTCCACAACGAGGGGTGGCTCAGGGCTGTCAGGAGCTGCTGTGTGCCATACACTGCTTCCTCTGAGGCTTCAGTTTTAAGGGCTGCAGGGGAAGTGAAGCTACAGCACTGATGAGTATGGACAGAGTGACCAGCAGGGCACCTGTGGGATTTCCCGGAGCCATCTTATTTTGAAATAACTCCAGCTGCCCTGTTTACACACACCTTAGTCTGAAATAGCTATTTTGGAAGAGGCCTTATTCCTTGTACAAATGAGGGTTATAGAATCCGGAATAAAATGTCCATTATTTAGATATTATTTCAAAGTAACAGGCTTGCTTTGTAGATGATCACGTAGTTATTTCAGAATAAGGTCCATTATTCCAGAATAACGCTGCTGTGTAGATGTGCCCATAGTGTTCTTGATTTATTCTCTTTTAGTCTCAGGGGAAGAGAGGGAGTACTTTAAAGTGGCAGCACTGCTTGAAGCTTGGTGCCATGCCCCGGGCTCCATGTGATGCTACCGCTTTGAAACGCCATGGGGAGCCCGGCATCAGGCTCTTTACGGTGTTTCAAAATGGCAGAGCCACATGGAGTGTGGAGTCAGCAGGAGAGTCCCCAGCTGACCCTGGACTCCACGCGGTACTTTTGCCTTTGAAGTGTAGCAACAGCCCTAAGGCTGTTGCTACACTTCAAAGGCTGAGGCGCCCCATCGACTAATTGAGTAGTCAATGCAAAATGCACTGACTATTCGATTAGGCAATATTTAGCAACCTTAAAATAGATGCCATGTATTAAAATCAGTATTGCTAACATCTGGGGGAGATTTTAAGACTTGCATCTCTAAATCACTGGTTTACTTCTGAGACTTTCTTTGGTAAGTGGATCTTGCTTTCAGATACTTGTTAGAATGCATCTTTCAAATGCTGAACTAAAACTATTTGCCAAGACAATGATGTTGCTGAAAAAAATCTCAACAGATAATGCCAATCACTAATTTAATTTGTGTTCTCATCCCTGACAGTCTGGAAGTTCACTGCTTAATTAACATAGATATGGTTTCCTATCTTACTAGATATTTCGTTCTGTGAACCTTCAATCTCAGTTCTCAAGCTCATTCACTGATGTGCGATCATAACATACTAATGCCAGAACCAAACCTTGAATGTTCTTTGGGGAGAATTTGCATAACAAGAAGCCTTCTTATATAATTACAGTTGTGCTCCCGGCATTATATATGTAGGAAGAAATTAAAAACCCAACTGTAGAACCCAAAATACAGGAAGCAGGACAAAAATAACACTATGTTCATTACACTTAAAAATAACAGTAAGTTTTGCTATAACCACACAGGAAATCCATTTTTACAGGTTTGATGATCATGTGTATGGAAGATTTTTTTTTTTAAGTAATAATATAATCACTATTGCCCTGGATTGGTTTTCTCTCTCATCTTGTTCAACATGTGAGACAGCTGTGAAGGTTAGCAAGGAAACATTGGGAGCAATTTTGTACAAACATGCATCTCAGATGAACTGGGGTTGCTACAATGTAATATTGACAAGGAACACATCATTGGGAGAAGTTGCCAGCACCTACAATGTGCTGTTCCCTTGTAAGAGGGTGTTAAGTGTGCAACAGATGCTGGGTTGCTCAGGAAGCAGCTATGGCCGAATGCTATCTTTTGTATATGTCTTGCCTCCGCTCTACCCTACCCCCATGAGTGCTTGCTAGTACACAAACCACAAGATTAGGTTGCTTAATGCACTGTACATGGTACTAAATGGAAACAATTCTTAAGATGAAGCTGGTACAAGTAGTGAACTTAGACTTCCATGGCTGTGTTTTATATTAGGAGCACATCACTCTAAAGCTCTGACATCTGCATTGGCGTCCAACATCATCATCTTGAATTCAAACTTGGATCATGTTAATTTATTAAGTCGTGAAAGCTTTGATACTGCCACTCTGATGCCAAACTCCCAAAGTTAAGATCAATGGAAGATGAAGAAGGCATTAGAGCTGAAGATCCTCACTATAAATGGGAGGAGTCTTTCGCAGCTGAACTCCCCAGCTGACTCCAGGCTCCACACGGCGCTGCCACTTTGAAACACCACAGGGAGCCCGGCGTCGTGCCCGGCGTATCAGAGGCAGCACTGCACAGAGCTCGGGGTTAGTGGAGGAGTCCCCAGCTGCTCTTAGGCTCCACGCGGCGCTGCCGCTTTGAAACGCCGCGTGGAGTCTGGGGTGCTGCCGCTTTGAAGCACTCCCTTCTTTCTCCCCTCCCTTGCTGTCTCTTTCTGATAGAGGCAGCAAGGGGGGGAAGCAACTAATTGACTAATGCATTGACTATCCACTAAGCATTTCCTCCAGGAGAAAGTCTACACCACTGCACATGTGCAGAATTCATGTCTGTCTCAGAATTTTTTCTTGCCTCTGCAAAAAATTCATCATGCCCAAGAAATGCTGCAGTTCTGCCTTTTGCCCACCAAATGTCACTGTAGAGCCAGAACAGACAGCAGCATGAACACAGTCAGGAGTTCTTGGGCCACAGCAGCCTCTATTGGGCCAAAGATGGACATGCTGCACTTCGCAGGCAGAATGTATTTTCTGGAAGGGGGAAGGGAGAAATTCTGTGCATGAATTCCCATAAGAGTAGAAATTCATCACAGCACTCTGCCCATGGAACTAGGTTAGTAGAGACAGAGTGGAGCACATGGGCCTGCTGGGGAGGAAGGGTCACAGACCCAGGAAATAAAGGGAGGACAGCATCGAACTAAGCTTATCAGATAGTCGAGTAGTGACTCGAGTAGTCACTCCCCCACCCCCAGAGCATGAGCCACTGCTGGGGAGAGCTGGCTAAAAGCTGGTTCCCCCCAGCACTGGCTCTGGGGTGCCACCTGCTCCCCTGGTGCCTCTATCAGAGGCAGGAGGGGGGATAGGGGAGGCTGTTGTGAAGCAGCCCCTGTCCACAGGGATCCCAGCAGGGAGCAGCCAGGGGCTGCTGCCACCAAAGCAGCCTCTGTTTGGGGCAGCCAGGGCTCGCTGCAGCCAGGGGCTATTCTGGCAGCAGCTCCTGTTTGCGGCAGACAGGGATGCCCATCATGAACAGGGGCTGCCGGACTCTGTGCGAGCTGGGAACAAGCAGTCCTGGCTCGTGTGGATGCTGCGCCTTACTACATTTAAAATGCAGAGCCGCAGCGCAGGAGGCTCCCGGAGCTAACCCCACAGTGGCTCTGCATAGTGGTCTAATCGACTGATCGTACAGTCGATACAAATTGTATTTACTATACAATTAGCTCATTAACTGCAATTTAACATCCCTACATTGAACCAGCAAGCGAGGTTACAAGGCCATAAGGGGATGCGGAAGGGAGCTACAGCGACACATGGGGATGGAGAGATACATGGATAGATGTGCTTGCCTGAATGGAAGAGGCTTGGGGTCAGCCAGGGCCTGCATCGGGGAAGGTCCCTGACTCCCTAACAAAACTGCCCCTCCCCTTTTCTGTTCCCCCCCCCAAAAACTCATACTTCTCATATCCACATCCAATAATGCTCCATGTTCATTCCAGCTCCTTCCCTCTACCTCAGTGCCTTTATTACCCCGACTAACTCCCCTCCCCCCCGCTGAGCCTTTCCATTGCTTCTGAGTGGTACAGGAAATAAAATTCTGTATTGTAGTTTAAACAAATTACTCCAAGTTCAGTATTAATATGACTATCAGGAATCTGTCAAAAAAATTACTTTTGGTTTATATTGTCACAGACCTGCTTGCTGACAGCTACTTTGAAACAAATTAATAGCATAATGGAAAGCTGTATGATTATATTGTGATATCTTGAGAAATAAAATATGCTGAATTTAAGATTTTTTTGTGAATAATTCCCCCAGGAATAATAATATATTATGCTATAACTATAGGAAACAAACCCATCTTTTTGTACAAACTTTTTTCTCTCGGGAGAATCACCAAGATTCTAGAGTCTCCAAGATTTTTTTTTTTTTTTTTTTTAAAGTTAAAATACAAAGAGCTTACCTATAATGGTGAATATCTTCAAATGATTTTGTATTATTTATAGCAAATACACACAGGAAGCCCTCCCCTGTTCTCATGTACTGGTCCCTCATTGCACTGTACTCTTCTTGACCTGCTGTATCAAGAATATCCAAGAGACAGGTTTCTCCATCAATTACTACTTGTTTCCGGTAAGAATCCTGAGGAGAGAAAAAAAAAAATCTTTAAATTAAACATGTCAAACTTTGAACTTCTATAACTCCTTTTTATAAGTGATCTCAAAATGCTTTATAAGCACGGACTCAACCTCTCCGCGTCAGACACTACCATTCCATTTCGCAGAGAAGCAGAGGCACGGAGAAAGTAAGTGGTATGACCAAAGTTATACAGCAAGCCAGCAGCAAAGTGAAGAATAGACCCAAGAGTGCAGATTTTCATTTTCCTGATCTAGCTGCTAGGCTCTGCTTCCATAATCTTAAATATATAAAGGTATAATTTTTTTAAAGAACATTAAATGCAAATGGCAGTCCTCTTTTTCCCCCCCTATAGATAATTGTGATTTGGACAAAATCCCAGATCAGAAGTTCAGTGGCCGCTCCGTTGCATTTTCATCAAGATCAGAGCTGCAGAACCAAGCAACCCATGGTTTTTCTGGGTCTAATTTACCGTAAGTATAGCCACCTCATAAATCATCAGATCAGGCATTTCACCTTCACACCAGGGATATTTTTAGGGAGCATCCATGAATAGGGCTCTACCAAATTTATGCAATGAAAAATGCATCCTGGACCATTAAATCTGATCTTTTGAGTGCTTTTACCATATACTATACAGATTTCACAGGGGAGACCAGAATTTCTCAAACTGGGGGGGCCGTGGCCCAAAAGAGTTCCAAGAGTTGTCACAAGGTTATTTTGGGGGAAGGAAGGGTCATAGTATTGTCACTCTTACTTCTGTGCTGCCTTCAGCACTAAAAATGAACCATGAATTTGGTATCCATGGTCTAGTATTTTGACAGCAGTACACAAAAAAGTCAGAGATAAACAGTTTACAAACATATTTTCAAATCCTAAAACTTCACCATAATGAGTGCAAAAGCCTAACATTGGGGGCAGTAAGTCCATTTTATGCCATTAAGCAGCCTGAAACATGAAAATGTGAATAACCAATAATATGGAAACATTTTGATACTAAACTTTGAAAAACTTAAGAATATGGCTACACTAGAAAGCTCACAGAAGCAAATACCTTACAGTGATATAGATATACTGATGCATCGTTACTTCTCTAAGCTTTCTAGTGTAGCTGTTCTAAGCCAACAGAAGAGAACTCTCTTATTGATTCAATTACTGCAGCCCAGCAAGTGGTAGTAGCTATATTGGAAGGAAAAGCTCTCCCAATGACATCAGTGCTGTTGTGGACAACGCTGAAGTTGGTTTAAGTTATGTCCTTCACGAGGATAGCTACTTCACATCCTGGAGCAACATAACTTATGTTGTCTTAAGCTACAGTGTAGCCAGAGCTCCTTAGTGGCAGTGCATAGTTTTACATTTTTGCAATACAAAGAAACAGACCATTATGAAATATGACAAATATAAACGCTAACAATTACTATGACAGTTTAGAAAGAAGGACTTCAGCACAGCTGACTTGAAGATTCCAGAATCTGGACTTACAGTACTTGATGTCTGCACACAAAACTGAAGCAGATTTCAAGCACTGGAAAATAGCAGCTAAATGCTGGAATATACCAATAACTGTTAATTTTTTATTCTAGGTCTCATACAGTTTCCTAGAATCATAGTGAACTAGGACTGGGAGGGACCTTGAGAGATCCTAAAGTTCAGCCCCCTGTGCTAAGTCAGGACCAAGTGAACCTAAACAACCCATAACAAGTGTTTGTCCAGCTTTTTAAATAAACCTCTTATGATGGAGGTGCCACAGTCTCCCTTGGAAGCCTATTCCAGAATTAAACTACCATTAGAGCAGGGATGCTACCCACCAGCATCACATTACTGACTCATACTCAATTCGTTATTCACTATAATCACTAGATTCTTTTCAGCAGTCCCATCATCTAGACAGTTATTCCCATTTTGTAGTTACACATTTTATTTTTCCTTCCCGCTTGTAGTACTTTGTAGGGATGTAAAATCCCATTTAATTGGCTGATATATTGTCAAAAATATTGTTTAACTGGTTAACCGATTAAAGGAAAAGGGCAGGCGGCGGCAGGGGGAAACCTATCCAGCAGAGCTGTTGCAGCCCCTGCCTGCAGCAGGCCAGGACACTACCCAGGCAGGAGCTGCTCCAGTGTCCTGGCTGGAGCAGCCCCTGTCCACAGCTGGCTCCCTGCCAGGCTGGAACACCTGTTCCAGCCCTTACCAGTTAACCCATTAAACATCCACATCCCTAGTACTTTGCACTTGTTTTTCTTGCATTTCACTTTATTAATTTCAGAGCATTTCTCTGATTTTGAATTATAATCCTATCCTCCAAAGTGCTTGCAACTTCTACCAGTTTGGTGTCATATGTGAAAATGTACAAGTAACATTATTATTCAAGTTATTAATGAAAATATTGACTACCACCTGAGAGACCCCAGCAGATACACACACACCCCAGTTTAACAGAGAGCCACCAGTAACTACTCTAAATATCAGAGGGGTAGCCGTGTTAGTCTGAATCTGCAAAAGCGACGAGGAGTCCTGTGGCACCTTATAGACTAACTGAAGTGTAGGAGCATAAGCTTTCGTGGGCAAAGACCCACTTCGTCAGATGCATGTAGTGGAAATTTCCAGAGGCAGGAATAAATATGCAGGCCAGGATCAGGCTGGAGATGACCAGGTGGATCCAATCAAGGAGGATGAGGCCCACTTCTAGCAGCTGATCTGGAGGTGTGAATTCCAAGAGAATAGAAGCTGCTTTTGTAGTTAGCAAGCCATTCACAGTCTTTGTTTAATCCAGAGTTGATTGTGTCAAACTTAAAGATGAACTGTAGCTCAGCAGTTTCTCTTTGAAGTCTGGTCCTGAAGTTTTTTTGCTGCAGGATGTCCCACCAATTGGACTCCCACCTAAGCTTAATTTCTTCTAGACCACATTGCCCTAGTTTGCATGTAAAACTGGCATGCATGATTGTCAAAATCATTACTAAAATCAAAATATGCCATGTTTACTGGCCCTCCCCCCCATCCTCTAGGCTAGTAACTCTGTGAAATTTGTTTGGTTTGGCATGATTTGTTCAGACAAATCCATGTTGGCTATTCCTTCTAGCTCTATTATCCTGTACGTGTTGTAAGCAAATTGAGCATTTAATAATTTGTTCTAGTCTCTTTCCAGTTATTCAAGTTAGGCTGGCTGGGCTATAATTCCCGAGGTCCTCTTTGTTCCCTCTTTTAAAGGCATGTGCCATGTTTCCCTTTCTCTTGAATCTCCCCCTCCTCCATGAATTCTTGAATATAACTGCTAATGATTCCGAGATTACTTCAGTTAGTTCCTTAAGTTCCCTACCATGATTTTCATAAGATCCTGCAATCATGAATACATCTAACTTATGTAAATATTCTTTCCCCATCTTTCTTCCTTATTTTTGCCTGCATTCCATCACTCTTACTGTTAATATTAATTGTCCTGGGTATCTTGACACTATTAACCTTTTTAGTGAAGACTGAAGTAATACAGACATTGAACACCTCACCTTTCTTTACACCTCTGAGACCTTTATCCCTTTAGTTATTAGCTCTCCTTCCCCACTAAGTAGCGAACCCACACTTCCTTTGTGTCTCTCTCTTTTCCTCTTAAGTGTACATATTAAGCTTCTTAAGTCCCTTGTAAGGTGTCACTCATTTGGTGCTTAGCTGTTTTGATATCATGCCTACATGCTTGTGTTATATCTTGGAATTCTTTTAGCAATTTGGCTGTTATCTCTTTTTGTAAGATTTCGTTTTGATTTTCAGATGATTAATGAGCTCCTGTTGAAGCCATATTGATTTTTTACTATTCTTCCTATCTTTCCATGGCAATGAGATATTAAAGGCACAGCAGGAAACTATTGTCTCCTTGAGAAACTACCAGCTCTCTTGAACTTACATTTCCTTCCTAGTGAACCTTACTTATCAGTTCTCAGTTTGTTAAAGTTTCAGTGATAAAGTTTCTGCTTCTCAGTTGGGGGCCTTAGATGTCGCATTCCAGTGAAGAACTGGAGTGGATGGGAGAGTAATCTGTGGTCAATCTAGCAGGTCTTCACTACACCTGCTAAATCCATCAATGCAGTGCCAATCCTCTGTATGTGTAGACATGCCCTAAATTAGCACATTGTTTTTGTATACAAACTTATATTTCTTAAATATTATAATTTTACAGCAATATCCATCACTGCTGAATACTAAAACTGCCACATGATATATCCATGCTAAGTTCCAACTAGGGATGTAACAGTATAGCCATTTAAATGATAAGCATGAGTTTATGGGCTACCATAACCAATAATTGTATCAGATGCAGCAGCGCAAGGTGGCAGTCGGCTTCCTGGGAGTGGGGCCAGAGGGTGGGAGCCGGTATACACAGAGGCTACGTCTACACTGGCCCCTTTTCCGGAAGGGGCATGTAAATTTCACGAGTCGTCGTAGGGAAATCCGCGGGGGATTTAAATATCCCCCGCGGCATTTAAATAAAAATGTCCGCCGCTTTTTTCCGGCTTTTAAAAAGCCGGAAAAGAGCGTCTAGACTGGCCCCGATCCTCCGGAAAAAGTGCCCTTTTCCGGAGGCTCTTATTCTTACTTTGAAGTAGGAATAAGAGCCTCCGGAAAAGGGCACTTTTTCCGGAGGATCGGGGCCAGTCTAGACTCTCTTTTCCGGCTTTTTTAAAAGCCGGAAAAAAGCGGCGGACATTTTTATTTAAATGCCACGGGGGATATTTAAATCCCCCGCGGATTTCCCTACGACGACTCGTGAAATTTACATGCCCCTTCCGGAAAAGGGGCCAGTGTAGACGTAGCCTGCTACTTTTGACAGAGGCAGCAGCATGGGCTGGCATCCAGGAGCTAGAGCACTTCAGGAGCCAGCTTAAAAACTGGCCTCAGGCACACACCAGATCCTGGGGAGCCAACGGCTGCCTCTGTACCAGGCACCAGCAGACTGGGAGCAGGACCAGCAGGCAGGAGTCAGTATGCACCAGGAGCCGACTTAAAAGCCAGCTTTC